CCATTAAAATCTCCAAGGAAACGAGAACATATCAAACGGAGAAGTGGACGAATGTTGAGTTTCATTTCAGTTTTAGTATACTTTTATACCAAGTTCATCAACTAGACGAAGCAGAGTTTCATCTACGTCTCCAACAACCTGAAACATTCATATACAGTGATTTATAAACATTACTAAACCTGAAATATCTGAGTAATTTATAATCATCTAAAAATATCCATCTAAAGATTAACTTCAATTTCTTTTAAGAAATCTCTTAAAACCAAATTATATCCCAAATAACCATTTACATGAAAAACCACATGTATATGTAAAGTTCATAAGAATAAGTTTTCATTGTAAAACTGTTTTCTTTTCTACAAATACACTACTGTCAGTTGAAATTATGCCAAAATATTAAATTACAAAAACTTTCAAATCAGCTGACTCATACATAATAATAAAATCTAAAACTTTACCATTTTATAATTTAACAAGCTGCAATATTTACTGCTCATTATTGTGGTGTTCCCTGATTTTCAGCACTCAGTATTTTTGGCGGTGCATACATTAGTATGTTTATGGTTGTCTTTTTATTAAAAGCCTCACGTTTACTTTATTACTAATAAAACTGACTATCAAACACCTGTTTAACACTCTTGCCACAGGCATGTCAAAGTACAGGTCACAACATTTAAAGAGTTACATTTGAAATTCAATTACTTAATTATCATTGTATATGAATAAACTTAACATCAAAACTTAGTTAATAAATTAATTTTATAAGGAAATATTTTAAAAACCACAATCTCCCCTAGTGTGAGAATTGTAAAATTTGTTCTCTAGGTTTACCTTCTTCTTTAATTCATTTACCACCCTTCCAAGAAGTACATAATTTAACATAAATTACTCATTATAATATCGATATCACTCAGGGAAAGCATAATTTTATAGCTTTCAATCTCATGTATCTACAGAGTCATAACCTATAAAATCAGACCCAACTGTCACATCCCATCTTTCACAAATTGCCAACAGTTCTTTTTGAATGTTAATATTATATTATTCATAACCAATAGAAAGCCAAAGTTTTACTCTATCAAATAATGTATTATATTACATTATTGTCTGTACTGATAATAGTCTATTTGCCTTCCAGTTCAAACACATCAACAACCTTAGTTGAATTTTTAAAGGCTCTTATCTCATAGTTAGAAAGTCACAAAAATTATGATAGTTATACGACACTGTCTGCTTTATACATGTTATTACTCTGTGTTCTTAGGTGCATTATTTAGTTCAATAAAAATTATTCAGTGTAGTAGTACTATTAGTATAAAAAATGTAGTCTTAAGTTTCACTGACAGTGGACAACAAAGAATCAACAAGACCAGGTATGTACTGTATTTCTTGTTTTGAGAAACATATTACGTTAAATACTGAAAAATAATAATAAAGTTCTTCTTGGGGTATGCTTGCCAGCATCTTGTGTTATATAATTTATTGTGGTAATGTGAGCTACGTTTACCAAGTAATTACAACTTGTGTGGTTGGATTATTAGTTAGACGCAGTTCACGTGGCAATGAAACAATAAAATTTAAGTAGAAACAGATGTATACTGCATACTAAAATGGGCCATAACATGATTTTGTTAGTGGTATTAGTGCAAGAATGAGCCATGTCATGGTAAGATTAACCCTATAACAATGATTCCATTTTTAAAACCCTTTCTGGACGTTAGTGACTTACATTCAAAATTTAATTAAAACCCCTTACTATCAATGTATTTTAATGAAATTATTATTATCAAGTATGTTATAATTCAGAGTTATATAATATCTAGTTTTATTCTTTTATTTCATAAGAAACCTCCAAAATATTATTTAAAACTTGAGTTTAGATATCTT